CTTCTGGTAGAGAGGCGACGACCCTACCAATTGAGCCACAGAGGATTACTTTACTCAAGTTGACAAGCTTAGATGATGTTAAAGTCCTGTGCTGAACTTTTGGTTTGTGTTGAATTTGGCGCCACCCTGTGGACAAAGAGGTATCCTTTCTCTCTTTACTTATATTGTCTGCTTATGCTTGATAATGATGAATATGATTTTGTACAAAAATAATCAAACATGAGTCAGGAGGATAAATAATCAAGTAATCCAGAAAAATCAAGAAATTATGCTTTTCTGTTCCACCAGAGTGATTGTTTGTTATACTGAGCTGGGATATTGACAATAAACTGACTAGCAGTCAGAACCCTCAAACTACCAGGATGTTGGCTTAATTTAAAGGAAGCTAAATAACTCCTAACAGTGGGTTTATAAGTCTGTCACTTCTTAAACACGACCATTAATAGTCTACTATTATAGCTAGGAACATAACTTTGAATAGGACATGTGTTCTCTGTCTCACCTTCTATAGAACAGATGGATGATGGGGTACTGATAGAAGCGGTTCTGCTTCCTGCATTTCCCCAGACTCCACCAGCAGTTAACAGCCACAAACTGCACCTGTGTTTGAGAGAGAAAGAGAGCGAAATAAAAGAATCAGAGTGTAGCAAACAAAACAGTTTCAAGACCTCAGCAGGGTACGGTGTGTGATGGGTATTTGTAGTGAGGTAGAACAGACTTTATACAGTTTCATTCCAAACAAGCTCCAAAAACTGTGCCCGCCATAAGACATCCCACCAGGACTCCCTTAAAGCGGTGCTATGCCCAGGGGTGATGCCTTATGCCCTATATAGTGTGTGACACAGTGTGTTGTGTGCCTGCTCACTGTTTAGATAAGCTAGTAAGACTGTAATCAAAAAGTTGTTTGTTAACCTTATCTTTGCCCCAAGTAAACCTTAAATTAGACCGACAGGAGACCAACCTGGATTTAACTTCAAACAGAGATGTGTTTTATTTGTTTGTGATCACTGCAACGACACAAAGATACACTTATTGTTTCTCTCCTTTTAGCTCTCTGCTTGCATAACTGCAGCAAGGACTCCATCTTTGAGCAGATTTTAGGTTGACTTTACCTGACTATTGATAAGTTCTCCAATAATCCATCATAAAACTATAATGGACAATAAGTACAACTAAATCCTCCAATATTAAACTCATTTAAATGTATAATGTCACAGGTCGTCGCTTTTAAAACTTTGTGTCACTTTCATTACATTTACACACTAATACAGTGACATTTCATTTGCCTCAGGAGGCAGGACATTATGTAAAAACAACTACGTGGAGATGGCGGACAAAGCCACTGAGTCAGACTCTGACCAATTCTAACTTTAATATCAGTGTTGGGTGTGGTTTAACACATTCACTGTATCAACAAAAGAGCGGAGAAGAACATACTGATGAACACAAAACATAACGAAGCTTTCTCATTACATGCACGGAGAGCGCACCGGTTGCACTCTCATCCCACAGACGTCAAGTGATATAAATGTGATCAACCCTTACCCTTCCCACTCGCTCGCAGTGCATTTTCCTGCGTATTACCTGCTGCATTCTGACATCGGCTTACCCCGACAACACATTGGAATTTACTAGTACGCGTTAAAACACTATTATCAGGTTAGTCTAGTTTTGTAAATGGGTCACAGTTTGGTTAGTTTTACGCTATAAAAGTACTTGGTTAGGTTTGTATATAATCTAATCCCAGCTCCTGCAGCAATATGTCCGATGTGTCTTTGGGCAAGACATTTAACCCCAAATTGCTCCCGCTGCTTCATCAGCGTCGTATGAGTGTGTGTGAATGGGATTAGTTACTTCTGATGGTCACTTCACACAGCAGCCTCTGCCATCAGTGTGAGAATGTGTAGGTGTGACCAGTGGTGTAAAAGTGCTTAGAGTAGTCAGGCGACTTGAAAGCGCTCTACAAGCCCAAGTCCCTTTACCATTTGCATAAAGTTGTAGTTCACTACACTCTCCTGAGTCAAAGAGAAACAGCTCTGATAACAACAGTTCTGGAGCTCGCTAAAGCATGCACTTCTAATTTTAGCAAAACCACACTCATTAGGGCAAACCACCATGTCCTACCTTCCAACAAGACAAAGTCTAGTTAATTCTCCATTATTCATTTAAGGCTTGATTTTATGTTATAACTTCAGCAGAAATCTCTACCCTACACATTTACTCAGTATCCCTTCAATGCTGCAACCATGTCTGTGATCATGAGATATGGTGTCAGACTAAGGTCACTGACATTCCAGAGTGCCTGTTGTGTGCTCAGGTGTTCTGTACCTGTTTGGCCAGCTTCTTAGCTACCTGCTGCACTTCCTGCCTTGCAGCCATGGAGTGAGCACACCACGGTGCATAGAAGAAGATGAGAGAAACTTCTGCAACACTCCTGAGACGCTCTGCCTGGAAGACAAATGCAAGAATTACAAACGTGTTATAGACTTGGATGTAATACTGTTTGTGTCCCAAGTATGATTTTGAGTTTATCACAAGCACGGACTAGGACTTGTTTGTACCATGCAGATTTTTGAAAATCCAAAGGAGGAAATTCCTGGTACAAAAAAGTCTTAAATCTCAGATGCCTGTATACATTTGAATCTCACCTGGTCTAGCTGACCCAGATAAAGGTCCACTACCGGGGCCTCGGCAGAGAAGAACCGCACCGGAGGCCGAGCTGCTGCCACCACATTTTTAGCACGGCTGCAGAAAGAAAAGATTTCTATGTCAGTCACAAAATACACAACTAACAAAACCCTTTCTACTCTCATGAGAAGACACAGTCAAGAGGCAGGGTGTGTCCGAGATCATTTGTCAGCAGTGCTCAAGATGGATTAATGTTTGGTCTTTGTAGATAATATACCAAAGAGTAAGATCTTTTCCCCCATCTTATGTAAAGTGTATTGCGATAACATTTGTAATGCATTGGCACTATACAAATAAAGGTAGATTAACTGAATTTGCCTAAAATTTTAATCTTTTCACTGGAAGAACCACTGGTGGTAAACTGTGTGATTTGTGCTCAAACTAATTGTTGATTCAAGGTTGACATATAAATAAAAATATGTATGTTGAAAGAACTAATTAAGAAAATGATCTCTGATTTGCACCTATTTCCATTCTGTTTATTGAGTCAATATTTTTTTTTTAGGTTTTGATAACACAAAACCGACTGCCGACCAATTAAAAACATGCACTAGTCATGGGCTCTGGGGACATTTTCTTGTAATAAAGTAGCATTATTTTTTCATGTGTTTTCAAACATATTTTGGATCTCTGATGGTTTAAGGCTGACTAATTTAAAAAAAAAAAAAAATCAATTAGATTTCGTCTCATTCGTTTTTAGAATTACTGAAAATTACCCAATACAGTACATCTCACTTAAACTTCAAGGTGAAGTATTAATTATATCCGCTGATCAAATACTATTTGTATCATGTTTTTTTAATTTAGATTGCGTCAGCATCTGTTCTAATATAAACCATTGGAGGAGGACTTACACTTTTCATAGAGTAGAGTTTTGACTTTAGTAATGAAACTTCTATTCAATTAAAATACTTTAATACTTGTTTCACAATTACAGGACAGGAAGCAGGATGAGTCTGAGATCAGCTGGCTGTTATTTGTTTCAGGTTTCAATGTTCACAGCTGTAACCTTCACACAGGTTTAGTCACTACAGGTTTAGTTCACTGAAACATCAGTGTGTGCTGTTTACTACAGAGCTGTGTTTGTTACACTGTTGTCTTCACTACAGACACCAAAATCCTTGTTCTGGTGGTAGCACAGTATGTTTACACGGTTTACAGTATTAGTTAATCCTCTTGTCTAACAGCAGTTTTAATCTGAGCAACATAACGAGGACCCTGTCTGGTTACAGCAGCCAATAAGATTGTTAGGAGTAATAGCTAATTTACGACACATTAATACAACAAGCAAAGTAAACATGATTAGTCTCCTCACAAAACACAAGCTCACGCTGCAGTAATATTAACAGAAACTGTACATGTTTACAGCACTGGCTGTTACCTGCATGTGAACTTAACAGCCAGTATGAGCAGGACGCTGAGCACGATAGTCCCGCAGAGAAGACCAGGTCTCCGGGCCATCAGAAACAGCACCTGCCGGAATGACTGCCGCACCCGGCGCAGCATTACAGGCTGTCGTCGGCTTTCCGTCCCATTTATATGCCCCAGCGGCTGCTCAATGCGTCCATTTGCCTACGAGGGGCGGGGAGGAACCGTGGTTCGAAACGGGGACGGAGCTATCCTGGATTGGACATCGGTGCTGTTGGTGTGTAAACGCGGTCAGACCAACCTTTCTTCCCCACGTAGACTTTTCACTTCCGCAACAATGACGTAAGGGGCAGAGTGTAAATTGTGGCGGGACAAGACTCGCGATATTTCAACACACTCGTGGGTTAATTGGTCGATAAGCGTACGTTCAAAACAGATTTGATCGAGTAATTACGGTAGCATGTTTTATTCCCCCCCTCCCCCCCGAATAATGATTTATTTAGTTATTTTTTCGTTTTGAATGTTTCGTGCTTTTTTGAGACCTTCCCTACGCAGTTATGTCGCCTGCCTTTGCTGAACACTGGAGGGCGGGCTTTACAAAGATGTACATGAATCAAACTTGTTCGACAACAAATGTTCAATTCATTACTGGATACTTGGCCTTATTGTCTTACCATCAATCTCAAATTCTATTCGAGTTCACTTTAGTTATTTGGCTTCTACTTGCAATAACACAATTAAATCATGGTCGTGTTTTTTTGTTTTTTCATTTGTAAATATAACACATCAGAACATAGGTAAAGATCAAAGAGAACATTCACATATAAAGTGAGTTAAGTACTACTAGGCCTACTATTATTAGCTAATATTACCTGTCCTTATAATCCTCTTGCCAGCAATTACTAAGTCATGAGAAATGTAAACATATGACACACCAAACATAACCTTATTAAAAAATCTTTATTTTTTTCTGCCAGTAGAGAACATTGAAGAACAAAATCACAGTGTTTTAACTATTAAGTGCAAATGTAAAAAATAAAGTATTCGATTTGCTCTGCCCACTGGTTACATGGAATTGTAAACCATCTCAAAATCAACTGAGCAATAACAAACATGTGCAACAAAATATTCAGCAGTACCAGAAACACAATCTGCTCATTATGATGATTTCTTTTTAATCTGTTTCAGAGTCCAACAGTTAAAACCTAATGCCTCATGTATGATGAAATGAATTGAAAACATGGAACTTCTTTTATTGTTCGTTATTCTTGTTTGACACTCCCATAATGCTGCAGAACTACAACCCTCAACATTTAAGCGTAAGTGCTTACATTTTAAGACCTCTCTGTGGCACCAATATTAAAGTCAAAGCCAGAGCTGAACTGAAGAGTTGAATAATGCATTTTAAAGTTAAATCGACTTAGTTCAACCTGATACTCATAAAGCAACAGTTGTTCATTTAATTGGTTATGGATCACATATAGTTTAGAACGACCAACAAAGAAGTCAGACAAAAAATAATCTGTTTTTTTCCACCTTCAAAGTCTGTGTATGTATAAAAGATCTCACAGCCATCTTAGTGAGTGCAACACAGCTATCAGAAACTCCTTATGAGGCCAGTCTTCACTACCACTAGTTCTTAAATATGACTTCTTATTTGCATATCTGCCCATAGGACCATTTAGGCAATGGGGGTTGTTAATGCACTGTGTACACAGAGATAGATGTCACAGCATTTAACCTTCCAATAAAAACACAGACATCTCACCGTTCATCTTGTTTGTTATGTTTCTCCCACAAAAAACTCAATGGCTCTCTTGTTCCATCTGCCAACTGACCAGCAGAGACGCAAGAAAGGAAGCGAGGGATCTTCCTTCCCAGGAGCAAATAAGCCAGAGTCCTGTGAGTTTACTGCCATAAATAAACACTCATCCTCTTCAACATCGGGAAATTCTGGCTGTTTTATTTGCAGCAAACTGTGCAGCATTGATTGGCACTGATGACATGCAGTTTGTTACAGTGCCTGTGTTTCTGGGTGCATTAGCTGCTGCACCACCAGGTCTATGTTGATGATGGGGCTGAAGTAGAGAGCCCAGTAGAATAGGCAGTTGCACACAAACTGAGGGAGAAAAGGCCACAGGAGGGCAAAGGCAAACCCCTGAGATAACATCTTCCACAAGTGGTTCCACATGTTGCGCGGCAGAGTCCTGAGGAAAATGGAAAATACAAGTTGGAGTGTGTGGCTTCTTCACCATTGGGAATTATACGAAATGTAACTTAACATGCAGCCTAACAATTCAATGCAGTTTTTAGGTAGTGTTATAGTTTTGGAACTGCAAAAAATGTATCCATGTTGATAGGTGTCCCCAACATTTGTACCTGATCCTGGCTCTGGTCCAGAGTCTCCACAGTGCGCAGCCTTCCAGCACAGACAGCAGCATCGTGTTGACAATAATGAAGCGAGACGTCCAGTAGTGGACGGCCAGCCAGTCCCACGCAAACTCTGCTATCAGCTGGTACGGAAGCAGGATGTACTTCACAAGGAACTCCGCCCACTGTCGCCAACTTGGCTCCAACTACAAACACAGGAACATCGTAGAAAACAAGAGATAACAGCTGAAATATACTATTAAACAATTAAAACAGACAAAATATTACAGTGAGAGTGATTTTTCTAAATGAATATGCAACTTCATTAGACTCTAAGTTAAGTTATTTCATTATACAGATTCGGCCAAATACTATATTCATTAATTTTGTGACAGTGTGTGTCAAGAGACGATGAGGGAAGATGGCCCCAATATATGAAATCCTTCCAAGATACCGTTCTGATGAACAAAATATTTAATATTAATGATTAAGTTGGAAGTTTAACCTGTGAGTGAAAGAAGCTTCCTTCCACTGACTGCTCGATGTGTGTGATGGCCGGGCAGCAGGTGTGCAGGAAGGGCAGGAAGGTTTCCGAGTAGTCAAATAAATACAGGTAGAAGAGCGTGAGACGAGGGGAGCGCTTCAGTGCATACAGCATGAACAGAGACTTCCCTGCATTAGCAGCCTGGCAGAAAGTGAGAGAAAATGAAGCATACAGTCCATAGGTTGTAAAAAGAAACATTACACATTTATTGGAGACACATTTTTCAGAACTTTCAGTATGGGGTATTTTCCTTAATGATTGGACCGTGACACAACACCAAAAACAAAAGATTGTAAAGCTTCTGAGTCATACAGTATAGCAGATTTGACTGTTTACCTTGTATTCCCAGAGGTTCTGCGGAGGTTTAACCCCTAGGGTTTTAACTCTGTCCAGTTCAGCCAAAACAGCACGTCGGTGAGCCAGATTTTCAATGCTGTACGGAGGTTTTATCAGCTCTTCTTCCCCAAGCATCAACAGCAACCTTATGCAGAGAAATAATGATCATAAGCATAATGATCGACAACATGAGCTGCTGTGTTCAGCTCTTTTTCTTCAAGTCACCATGAAACAGAACTTTAAAGAGTATGCAACTGCCCACCCCATTTCCAACTTAAATGGGATAAAACCAATCAGAAGACAGAAGGCGGGACATAACATTGGGGTGAATGTGATGTCGACAAAGCCTTTAAAATGAGTGAACATCCCCTTAGTACAGGATGAGTCTTCAGACATTTAAATTGTTTCCAAGTAAGAGAAAATACAGTTATTTTGATTTATCATACTCAGATAATAGTTGATTGAAACATATTTGGCAGATATATGAAAATCTATTTCATAGGGACTTTAAGGCGGGCATGGCTCCACCTCACTTGAGAACTTGAGATGTCCTACAGTGGAAGGATGACAATCAGATGAATATTATAAGATGTGGCTTGCAGGTTATTATGTGTCCACATCAAACAAAACAAGGACAATGAAAGACAAAGGAATCACTTTAAAATAGGATCCTATGTAATATATCTACCTCCCATTGACGTTCTCCTGTTGGAAAGCTTCTCTGTATAGCTGAGCCCAGGGCCCCAGGTTCTCTAGCCAGGAGACAACCTCCTCCGACGTCCAGCGCGACACGGGTTTACTGATCAAAGGGTCATGCTGCTCAACCACACCACTGCTCCAGTGATACACCAGCACTACCACCTGGAAACAAGGTTATCAAAATGTTCAACACTTCAATACTTTTCAATACCTTGCATTTTACAATATTTGTTATTTTAATGATTGTTCGTATTGAAAAGTACTGAAGCTTCAAAAAAAAAATCACAGATATTCAGTCATAGAACCGAAGGCTGCCCGAAAGACAGAGAGAGGACTGACTAAATTGTACAAATTACATTGCCAATGTATACAATGTGTACAATTTAGACATGGTGCAGGAGTTTGCTTCCAATTTTTAGGAATTCGAAACAAGAAATTATCCATTATTGGATGCTTAGGATTCCATTGTAGTTACAGGTATCGATATCATTCGATTTTTACCAGGATTGTATCCAATTTTAGAATTCTGTTATGGTGCTCACTACTCACAAAGCAGCAGTTCAAAGCTCTGATTTAGCCTACAATAGTCTAACAAAGCCAAGCCTATCAACACACTCCAATTAAGCCCTGCTAGACCTTGACCAAAGTCACGTTGAACCCATCATGATTTGGTGAAACTAAGTCCAGGATACAGAGACCTGGGAAACAGTGTCAGTCAATCAATAATTTGAACCATGTATGAATCACTTTAAAAAAAAAAAAAAAGATCTGTTGTGCTGTCATGAGCAATCATGTGCAGGGACTATGTTCATCATAGACCAAGCTCTTTGCTTTACATTTGCCAACCTCATTCTTTTCATTTATCAATGTAATAAGAACATGTTCTGCACTAGAGACAGAACAAATATTACAAAAATAAAAGCAAAGCTCTGCAAATCCATCCAGCACCATAATAGCTTGACAGTTGAAATGCACAAACCATGAGCATTCCTTGGTGATTTTCATATTGCTGTTAAACTTGTAACATGTGCATTGCAATGATAAAGTAAGCACAAGATCTTTCACAGCATGATGACAGATTTGACAAAACTATATACATTTCAGTTTGCAGGAAAAGAACACAAAATGAAACATCAAAATAAACTTGATGCTTTTGTACACAGATCAAGCCCCCTATTCCAAAAATACTTGCTGTACACACACACACACACACACACAGCCACGTGGCAGACAAACACTGTCGTTGCTCCCAAGTGCCACATGGACAAAATAAACATGGTATGTCTACATGATAGGAAGAACAAACTACTTCATCACTACTGAGCTAACCTCTAAATATTACATAACAATGGTGTATTTTTTGAACAACACGTCTAATTCTTTTCAAACCCAAACAGAACTTACAATGCAAGTGCTATATTAACTTAACATCCTAAAAAGGAATAAGTGTAAAATGGTTCTTACGAAAAGGCACATTAAGTATTGGTAATAATATCAAGTAAAACAGTTGAATCAACAGAATAAACACTTGTTTGAGAGACATACTGCAATACAACACTGATCAGTGACACTGATTGGGGTCAGACTTTTTCTAACTAAGAATGTACCAACTGGATTCTAATAGTGGGAATCGTGATTAGGAATCGTTGGATGTCCCTTCACATCGCACACAATGGCACGCTGGCTGTCCACAATGCATCTGTTATATATTTAATTCTTTAATTTAAGTTTCCCCTTACAAACAGTATGACATCTGGTGCTGTCGTATTGAAGATGGACAAACGGAGGTGTGGTGCTTTGTATTGACGAGCTATTGACTCAAATCACAACACTCAGAGGCTCGTCAATAAACGGCTCAGGGTGAGCTGGAAAAAGCTTTTCTCAGGGCGCGTGTCACACTGGCCATCCGTACCCTGCCCAAGCACGCTTCAACCCTAAAGTCCAGTTTGTTTGGCCAGTGTGACCGGCCGCTCACTTCCTTGGCTTTGGCACACTTCGGAGAGGTGTGCTTCGGCACGGTACACTCCATGCAAGAGCACAAGCACGCAGGAACACAACGCTGACAGCCTTCATTATGGAGAAATCCAGAGCTGCATGGCTGTATCTGACTAAAATGACTCAATATAAGCCACAAGTAGCCGCTTTGCGGCCACGGACTCGCCCCCGGACTCAGCCGCGCATCTATTTTATTTTTTTAATTTATTTATGGCTGTGTCTGATAAAAATGGCTTAAAATAAGTCGCAAAGTCAGTAAAGTAGCTGTCATGCTCTTTGTGATGTTGTGTGATGTGCAGACGCGGACTCGACTGCGCGTCCCTTTTTTTCTCTCTCTCCGCCTGTCTGTCAACTGAGCACGCTTCATAATAACATAAAGCATGCATGTGTTGTATAACGACGTTATGTACAAGAGGTAATCGTGCTATGGCACGGTTAGTATGACCGCGGGACGGGCCAGCCAGCGTGGGAATGGCACAGAGGGGGCCAATTGTGCTTGAGTACGGCACGGTACGGATGGCCAGTTTGACCGCGCCCTCAGGTGTTGTTGACACAAGCCAGAGCTCAACATTTCAATCACTGACCACTATCTCCACTTTATAAAACAAGCTCTGTTAAGTTAGAAAAGAAAGTGCCCGTGCATTGTAGAGCCCCCCCCCTTCCTTGTTCCTTTTCCGTCTACGTGAGCAACAGAGAGGAACATAGAAACGTGGCGTTAGGGCTGTAACAGTGCGCCAAATTTGCTTTCTGCTGCGTCGTGCAGCGTCGTGCTGCATCGCTCACGGGCAGTTAGAACGCTCCAGTAATAAACAATAGAATCAAGCCTATTCTATCGCTGACGCTCCCGTGTGTCGCCTGCTGCAAAAACTATGAGATAGTGTAAAAGCTGCTGTTGCTGTGGTAGCATTGATTGGAAGGTGACAAAGATAGCTACATATAATAGCATCCGTTTCAAAGCCAGCTACCATATGAATTCAAATACAACAAACCAATATAGAAACATGCAGTCTGAGTTTTTCACTGCAGTGATATACTTACAGCTACACATGTGAGAGCACTTAGGACTCCAGAAAAGAAGAAGCCTGCTCCTTTGTGCTGGTTTTTCCTCGATCTGCCCAAGTTGTCACCATACCTAAAAACATGCAGAATGAAAGTCAGCTCATTTGCTTCAAAGCACAATCGTATCACGTAAAAGTAAACAGATAAGACTTTGGGAGTTTTAAGTTTTGTGACTTCAGAGAGAGCTGCGGGAGACATCCTTTTTTGCCTTAAGTGATGTCACTTAAGTCAGCTTTAGTTGTGGCTGTAGGCTACAAGTTTGAAAAAACAAAACAACTACCATGATGTTACAAAAAGGAAGCTCATCTGAGCTCTGTTACAATGACAAACACAAATAGGTAAAGAGAAAGAGAAGCAATCACAAGCACAACATATTCAAATCTCAGCAGCTGGTTGAGTTTTATTTGGGTAATTTAGGTATAAATTATGCCAAGGAGACACACTGTTAAAAATCTTAAAACCAAAGCTGCTTTTGTTAAAGGTTGTGGTGTCCTACCTCTGGAAGGCCAGTAAGCTCCGGGAGATTTTAGGGTTGGTCTGGATTTCTGATCTCCTCCGCTGAACAACCTCACTGAACAGCTTGTCTGTTGCATCTCTAGAAAATTGAAAGGGCATAAAGTTAGCAATTTCAGTAGGTGTGAGTGAAATTTACAATAATAAAACAACAAGAAGTTGGTAAAAGTTTTGTTATACATTTTGAGCTTTGTTCTATTGGAAAACATTACTGGAAAGTGTGGTTATGCTTGCTGTTGGGGCGGCAGTAGCTCAGTCTGTAGGGACTTGGGTTGGGAACTGGAGGATCACATGTTCAAGTCCTGGTGTGGATCATATCTGGGAATTAATCTGGTTGCTGGCAGCTGCCAGTTCACCTCCTGAGCCCCCTCACTCTGAAGTCTCTCCATTATTGTATTTCAGCCTATGCGTGTGTCCCCGCAAGATTACTAAATATATCTACTTCTTCTTTATTTGGATTTGTACATTAAGATTGCAATCTTGGGTCGCTGGTGGCGCAGTGGTTAGTGAGCGCGCCCCATGTATGGAGGCTGTAGTCTCAAGCGGGCGACCCGGGTTCACATCCCACCTGTGGCCTCTTTCCCGCATGTCGTTCCCCACTCTCTCTCCCTGATTTTATCCACTGTCCTATCTCTCCATTAAAGGCATAAAAAGCCCAAAAATAAATCTTAAATTTAAAAAAAAAAAAGATTGCAATCTTATCAATTTTTAAGCTGCTGTATTTATGCAGAATTCTACTTTTGCTGTTTGTTCAGACAAATTGCTTACAAATTTCTTAAAAAATTAAAATAAATACATTATTATATTATTCAAAGTAAGACATTGTACTGGTACTAAAACCAACTCACAGGTATAGTATTAGCACAAGTATCACAAAGTTCTACCCTCATGAATGTGAATATAAAGCACACATGTCACACACAGTTCTTTACTTAAGATGTTGTATGTAGGCCTCTGTTTTCTACGGCACATGTTAGAAATACGAAAACTGTGGTCAGAAAATCAAACATTCATTCTTCATACAGTCAGGCTGTGAAAAGCATACCTCAGCAGTATGTTGACTTTAGGAAAGCCTTCCCATTTCTCTCGACACTCTGGGCACTCATTCTTGTGAGATGACTCCCACCACAGGGCCAGACAGTGGCGGCAAAAGTTGTGGCCACAGGTCAAGGTGGTTGGGTTCACTAAGATGTCGTAGCAACAGTGACAGGAGAATTCATGTTCTGAAATGTTGGTGGTGGAGGGGTTGGACTGAGGAACTTCAGAAAAGTCAGGGGTGTCTTCCATTGAGCCTCCCAGACCCTCATCTAATAAATCCCAGTCCATCTGGTCTAACATATCCAAGTCTGAAAAGAGGAGATTAAGGGTTACAAAAGAAGAACTAAATGGTTTCAGTAATACATGTAAAATAGGTTGCTTGATACGGACTGAATGAATGAATGACAGTGTTTCCCCTAGGTTTACAGCGTTGGGGGGGTGGGGACAAGCCGACATGCCGACACGACGACACAAGCACTTGAAGGAATCTTGGTGTTCAGGTGTTACCTTTAATGACAGATGTCCTTTTCGGAAAGGTGTCCTTAAATGACTTCTTTTCCTGATTTCCGACTCTATCCACTATCCTATCCCTACAATAAAGGCACAAAAAGAAAAACAAATCTTAAAACTCAATTGAGGTGGAAGTATAGACAAAGGATTAATGCAAGCAGCAACCCAAAAGAGACAATATCAGGTAGTTATTGTTTGTATGACCTTTTACCAACATTTTTTGATATTCATTTTGGGGCATTATGTTTAAGGTTGCCAAAATAAAAAGTGCAATTACATTTCAGAGGACAATACTTACAGCTAAATTGTGTGAACGAAAGAAAAAAATAATAATAATGAGGTACTATAGTGCTAAAGAAATATTCTGGATAACATTTCTTATTTTCCAGATAGAACAAAACAGGCTTGTTTTACCCAAACGATGTTTACCAAAGCCCAAGGTGATAATCTTAAATGTCTTGTATTGTCTGACCAACAACTCATATCCAGTTGCCAATGTTAGATCACCAAAAAAGCAGAACATCTTTACATTAGAGGCGCTATAATCAGGAAGTTGTTTGTATTTTTGCATGGGAAAAGGCTGAAACAAATGAGTGGTTCAATATTCATTCGGTTACTATTTTTCTGTCTATAGCAGCACTGAATGCTAATTGACAAATGATTCACAGTCCTCCAACCAAACCCACATTGTGTAAGCACTTGGTAAGAGCAGCAACATTCTTTTTAGAGGCAAAAAACCTTGAGCAGAACCGGACTATCTACCAGACAGGTCAAAAAAAGAAGAAAGATAGAGGAAGAGAGATATGGATTTAAGGAGACGGACAGGACATTCTACATAACAAGTGATATTCTCATAGGAAAATGTATATTAAAACACAGATACAGTAGATAAGATGTGTAACAGCAATACCAATTGAAATGTATTTTAATAGATTATAGGAATATCTAACATAAGCTTAATGAACTGGTAGTCTTATAATTGATTTATGGGTTAGCACTTGTGCTGTTAAATTGCATATTGACTTAACAGTCTGAACTGCTTAAGCCCACAAAGAAAAAAATAACCTGGGCCATTTAAATGCATACTTTGAAAAGAGTCCCCAGTTGTAAAGTTACAGATAGGTCTTTTAAGGTGCACTTCCACCTACATTTGGTGTTTCTGGTGTATTTCTTTCGGTTTGACTGATCTGGCAGCTCGAGCAAATTTGAATAGTTTCCATTTGTGGCGTTATAGAAAACCAAATGCTTTCGTGTAGGAAAGACCTCTAAAAACCTAAAAACTGAACAGCAACCACTTCAAATTGTTCAAGCACACACGTAAAGAATGCACAACTTCTGGTAATGGGTACAAAGCTCAGCTTAAAAACACAAACATGTATGGCCTTTATACGCGTTATTTCGATGTGGTTTAAGATACCAGTAAGTAAATTAATGAGAAAAAAGATCTGTGATGGTAAAGAGTAGGCTTTAATAATAAGAATAATGTCACATGTTCATAACTTTTTTGTTTGTTTGTTTGTTTTTAACGTGTTCTGCATACAAGGTGTCAATGTCATGATAAAACAAGGCCAAATAAATAGATAAGACATAAGAGAACTGCAGCTAGCTGGAGTAGCTAGTGGTTAGCAATAAGCTATTTCGGCAACAACAACATTTCTTGCTTTGACAAGAATGGACGTTTAAGAAAGGTAAAAACATCTAAAAATACTTTTTAATGCAGAGACTGTCGTGATAAGTACAAGCAAGGACAGAAAGCTAACATTAAGTGTTGAGTTCACGTTTCCTTTAGTGAGATAGCTGCCATTCAACGTAATTCATAAAGTCGGAGTTACCTCAGGAGTGGCCTTTAACAGGTGAGCGGCTGGAGGAAGACATGACTACCTGGTTCAAATGTGTGTAAATACCTATGTTTAAAGTAGTTAGACCCGAATAATACCGTCCATGGAGCTACAAAAAGAAACATTTTCGGTCGCCATGGCTCCGAGCTGCTGCTGCTGCTGCTTCAACTGTGGAAAACCCCACGCTCACGTCTACCCACCCACGCTACGTCGTCATGCATTCGGGTGTTGTCGGAAAAAGTCGGAGAAATGTAATATGAGTCGGGAAAATGTACTAAGAGGCGCACTCAAGTCGGAATAATTTACTTTAGAGAAAGCTTGCTGACCAGTGTGCCGAATTAACAGAAATCACGTCATATTAACTGGAAACAAACCGGGTCAAAAAAAAGAATGTGACGTTTGATTGTTTAAAAACTATAATTTAAGCACGTAGGCCCATTTCAAATTATGTTTCTATGCCTTGTCGATTGAGACTTCGCATTAGGTTGTAACTTGCTAGTTTCTGTGAGCGTAAAGTAACCTTATGGTTTCATAGTTCTGCAAAATGAAACGTGTTTAAATTGGGGCCTTGTTGTTTCCACATTTTGAATTCGAGCTCGTGAACACAACGCGGTCGGAAGACGTCTTGGGAGTGTCGATCATCCGTAGGCCTACAGCAGAGTGGTGGATCAGTACGTGAAAGTGACCTACCTGATAACACTTGTCTTATTCACGCTCACCGAGGCTGGAGTTAAAGGGAGGCGATAAACTTAGTCCATAGTCGTCCTCGGAAATGTTGTAAAACCAATTGATTTCAGCTGATGTGGCTTTTAAAAGCTGCTCCAGTGCAAAGTTCAGATCTGATCCTGTCACTCAGATTCTGGCCTGAAGTCTCAGGTTTTCCCTACAACGTTGATAACAAAACAGTAACCTATTAACTTACACGTTGGCTGTGCATGTATGCTCAGCGGCGACCAATCTGTATTTTAAGAAAGCTGCCAAAATGTCAAAACTCTGAGGGAGTCCTCGAAGAAATAATGATGATAACATCTTGTGCTTTTTGAAAAAACATATTAAGTCAAAATCATTTTGAAAGTATGAGTAAACCATCAGTTAAACCCTGGCAAACTCCATCACATAATAGCAGAGGTGTAAAGTAACGAATTACATTTACTCGCGTTACTGTAATTGAGTAGTTTTTTGCTGTACTTACTACTTTTTAAGTCGTTAGCTGTACTTTCACTTTTACTGAAGTAGGATTTCTGTTAAGTATTGTAATTCGCTACATTTTAAATCACATCCGTTACTGAGTAAAAAAAAATAGGCCTGCTATGAATGATGTTCCTTCATCACACTGGAGCGACGACAGACAGAGAGAGAGAGAGAGAGAGACAGAGAGAGAGAGAGAGAGAGAGAGAGAGAGACAGAGAGAGAGAGAGACAGAGAGAGAGAGAGAGAGAGACAGAGAGAGAGAGAGAGACAGAGAGAGAGACAGAGAGAGAGAGACAGAGAGAGAGACACAGAGAGAGAGACAGAGAGAGAGAGACAGAGAGAGAGACAGAGAGAGAGAGACAGAGAGAGAGACACAGAGAGAGAGACAGAGAGAGAGAGACAGAGAGAGAGACACAGAGAGAGAGACAGAGAGAGAGAGACAGAGAGAGAGACACAGAGAGAGAGACAGAGAGAGAGAGACAGAGAGAGAGAGACAGAGAGAGAGAGACAGAGAGAGAGACAGAGAGAGAGAGACAGAGAGAGAGAGACAGAGAGAGAGACACAGAGAGAGAGAGACAGAGAGAGAGACACAGAGAGAGAGACAGAGAGAGAGAGAGAGAGACAGAGACAGAGAGAGAGAGGCAGAGAGAGAGAGACACATCTCAGATGTGTGAAAATAAATATTTAGAAGCTTTAGTAGCTAATAGGTAAACAAACAGTGACTAAGACATCTAATATTTAATCTCATAAAGGCTCATTTTAAAACAATAAATGGATTATCTTTCACCTCAGATTTAGTTGCAGCTAAGTCAGCCTTTGAGGCTGTCTTTGAGACTAACCAGCCTCAGAATAATAAAACTAAAAACACTGAAATACTCTTTACACTGTTTATGATTGAGACAAAGATCCTTTTTAGTATTTTCTTAAATAGTTTAAAGGCTTAATATGTGATTTTTCACACTTAAATAGAAATCAAGTATATCCTCTGAAAATAACTCTGTGAGTCATGACTGTCTACAATGGGTGTAACACCCGAGTCCCACTGTCTGTGATGTTTTCAGAGTTTTCAGAGTCCTATCTTCAGTTTGTTTACATCGTCGGGACGGCTGGCTGACTCCTCCCCTCGTGAATAAAAGTTGTTTAATTGAGGGACTAGAGAAAAGAAGAATAACATACTGTACTCACTACTACTAGATCACAGTCATTTCAGGTACATTTACATGCAGTGTGAAGATACGAGCATAATAAAGATCGCTAGCATTAGCATGCTAACACAACAATGCAGCACGAGTTGTTTTGGTTTCATGCTGGTGCTCAAGGGCGACATCTGCTGGATCAAAAAATCTAATATTAAGCCTTTAAACATTTCCCTTCATAAAACAGCTGATTACTTGAACATATAATCCTTGATTATTTATTCATCATTATGTATATTTTGTTTTTGTCAATGGGATAGAAAATAAAATGTTTATCTGAAAAGATAAATCTTTGTAAAGATTGGCCTTTAATTAAAAAAACTTTGAGATTAATATCCTCTCGTCCTTTTGTTTACGACACACAAGAGACGCGTTGTTAAAAAAAAAGTAGCTAAGTAACTTTTACTTAAAGTACAGTTTAAACGAGTTACTTTTTACTTTTACTTGAGTACATTTTTAAACTGGTACTTTTACTTGTACTTAAGTAAAATTTTATCAAAGTAACAGTACTTTTACTTGAGTAGAATATATTAGTACTCTTTACACCTCTGCATAATAGATATAGGCCTAAGCCTGCTAGCCTATATTTTTCCTTCTATAAACTGACTAGGCCTACCTTTATTTGTAATTGAAACATATGGAGTCCTAAACACCCCGTCTGTTATCCCTTCTTCATGAGGAGTTAAAGATGCAGAAAACCACGACATTATGTATCTGAATTTATGCATGTGCATGTAGGTATGAGTGTATTTGTTTGTGATATGTATGTATACTACATGTATATATGTATGTGCATATATATAAATGTGTGTGTGTGTGTGTATTATGTATATGTACGTGTATATGTGTTTATATATGTATGTATGTGCATATGTATAGATTAATGACTTATTTTTACTTCTTGCTTTTACGCATTGCCTGTAAAGCACTTTGGTCAGGTGAGGCTGCTTTTAAATGTGCCATACAAATAAACTTGATTTGATTTGATTTGATTAAAATATTCTTTTAAGGCAAACTTTCACCTGAAACGTTAAGGTGAAAAGCAAACAAAGTTAATTGGGAAAAATTATAAAGCTTCCAAAATAAAATCAAAGAATACAGTTAACTGGCTAACAAAAAGAGACAACAAATAACATATATAACTCACATCAATTGGTAGACGGTACAGACCTTTTCCAACATACCCATTGATCTTTTAGTCATGCGTCTTTTGAACATGCTATTCTTGGGTTTGTTTTAATAGGTTAACCCTCTTTTATTGTGATACAATGACATTGTCCCTCAATCCATGTTGATGTGTTTCACGTTGAGACATAATTAATAATTTATAAATAATACATTAAAAAAACTGACAGAAGAATCAGAAGCTGATATGTATCCCTCAGCTTCATTTACACCTCCCCTAAATTTGTATTGTTTTCTTATAATATTTTCCCTCTAAAAAAACCCTCTAAAACTACAATAAGTGCACTTTTCTTCTTAATGGCAAGATAAAATAAGATGCCTACAATGGCACATATGGAAACCATTTGTGTTTATTTTCATAGGCTGTATAAAATACATTCAATGGTTTATTTCAAGGCGTTATGAAAGGAGCGAGGTGCAGGTTCCGTACCGTCCAGCAGGTGGCGCTGTAGACCCTCACAAAACTAATCCAAGAGGAAGAAGTGGTAGTAGCGCATCTAGCTCCTCGCCAGAGCCCGAGGGTTAGCTCATGACAGCTACCCTCATCCATAACCATTCACCTTAGCTTATATTTCTGCTCAGCCTGAGTTTCTTATGACATCCTTAAAACACAGAGACGATATCCCGCCATGTTTGAGGTAACGACGACAAATTAGCTGCTATTTGAGCTTTTTTTTTTTTTATATTGTACAGCTGGTTTACGTTTGCAGAGATTTGGGATTTAGCTAAACTGTGACACTTAACTAGCTAGGCAGATACAGTTAATTAACCTGGTCTAAAAGATCTCGCTTGTTAGATTTAGGTAAACTGGGGTGACATTGATTAAGACCTCTTTTGAACACCAGTGGTAGCTCTTATTAATACCGTGTGATTGTTAGCTGCTCAGCTAGCGGTGTTTGTTTATATATTTACTAGTGAAGCGTTCAGTAACGGGTTGAATTTAACTATGGGAATTAGTACCGCTCCTGGTTCTTGAGGGCCCCCCCCCGTCCACCCCCCCTTTTGTGTTCAAGTGTTTGTGAAGAAAATATTAGACATGAGCACACAGGCCCAAGATAATTGTTTGTTAGCCTTTCAACACAGAGACTTTTATTGCTATACATGTTTGGTAATTGCAATTGTAAAAATGAAAAAAGTGACTTTATAAACACATTTAGCGGAAGTTATCTACCTTAGTTTGCATTATTGAAATGTTTTAAGCCCTTGTATACTAGGTTAATATTAAATTAGACAGGACTGAACTGCAGGGCACTTTTAGTAAAATATAGGAACACACTCATGTTGTAACAATGGGCATGTTGTTTGGCTTCTGATGTGGTGAAGGTGGCATAACCCAACCTTTTTTTAAAAGCTGAAGATGTGAATGACAAGTAAGCTGAATTCAGACAGCCTGTTAGTAGGATTATGACTTCCATTTGAAATGTGACTTTTTGTAGTAGGGCAGCTGATGGTGGTGTCACTTCTTTAGGGTTTGGCGTGAGTGTCTCTCTGTTTTTTTTTTTTTTTTTTTTCTAAACAGGATCCTGACCACCAAGATCCGTTGTTGCTGAGTCTTAATGAAAACTATGATGACCAGAATTTGCAACATCCTGACACAAAAAAAGGACACGTAAGCCTCGAGTACAACCATGAGTCTCCAGAGATTCACGTAATAATCAAAGAGGAGGAGGATGGCTGGACTGTGAGTGAAAATTGTGAGTGTAATTCTTCTTAACTGACTAACTATCAGCCTCAATCCACTAGTTGAAATGCAGACAGTCTCTTGTGACTTTTTAACATTTTTGTATTCCACTTTATTGTGTATTGTTAATCACAGATGAGAGCTTCAGCTCAGAGGGAGAAAAGAAGGACGCCTCCTCACACCCTTATCATCCTCACCTGAAAGCACGTGGGAAGGAAAGCTCTATTCTACGCACAGAGAAGAGTCAGCAGGGAGAAAATTTGGGGGAGAAATGTTCGGATGAGCCTGGTGGCCCTGCTGTCTATGGACAAAGCTCCTCTGCAAGAGATGAGTGGCAGAGACACATGCTCATGGACTACGATGAGAAACCTAA